TCACCTCAGCCTCCCAAAGACGCGGGATTACAGGCTGAGCCACCAAGCCTGGCTTTTTATTTTTTTTTTGAGTTGGAGTCTCACTCCCTCTCCCAGACTGGAGGGCAGTGGCCGCTCCCGGCCACCGCAGCCTCGACCTGCTGGGCTCCGCCGATCCTTCCGCCTCAGCCTTCCAAGGAGCTGGAACTATAGGAGTGCACTATCACGCCCGGCTAATTTTTTGATTTATTGTACAGATGAGGCCTCGCCAAGTGGCCCAGGCGGGTCTCAAACCCACAGGCTTAGGCAATCCACTCACCTCAGCCTCCCAAGGCGCGGGATTATAGGCTGAGCCACTGAGCCCGGTGTTACCCATGTTTTATATAGCATTTATTTTGTGTCAGGCACTGCGCTTTCAGTTGTTAACTCATTTAGTAAACTTCGTAACTCCATAAGGTAGGTATCCTTATTACCCTAATTTTTTTTTTTTTTTGAGTCAGAGTCTCACTCTGTCGCCCAGACTGGAGTGCAATAGCACGCTCACAGCCACCAAAGCCTCAACCTGCTGGGCTCAGGCATTCCTTCCACTTTAGCCTACAGATGCACACCACCACACCCAGCTAATTTTTTGATTTGTTATAGAGATGAGGTCACCAGGTTGCCCAGACAGGTCGCAAATCCGTGGACTCAGACAATCCTCTCACCCCCCCCACAGTGCTGGGATTATAGGCGTGAGCCACCACGCCTGGCCTATTACTCTCATTTGACAGTAGAGGAAACTGAGTCAGAGAAGGGGAGTAACTTGCTGAAGGTCACACCAAAAGTGGCAGAGCTGCAGGGGTTCAAACCCAAATGGCCTGGCTGCAAAGTTCAGGCTCAAAATCACAGGACACTGATCTGTAATTCTGTGTTAGTCCAGATCATTCAGAGCCAAAGTAAGTCTCTGCAAACATGGGAAGGAATTGATCTACTTAGCTAAAATGTGGCAACATTTGTTTCCTTGCCTTTTAAGACGAGAGGCTTGTATTTTGGCCCTAGTCTTTCTGCTCTCAGTAGTTTTGTGACCTTGGACAAATTGCTGAATAGCTGTCAACCCCTGTAAAATCAGGGTTGGGCTAGCTGATCCTGAAGGTCTCCCCTCCTGTCTCCAGAATTCTTTGAGTCCACGCTGAGCCATGCTGTGAGCCATGTGGCTCTGCGTCCAGGCTTGACTGCCCTGGCTCTTTGCCCATCTTCTGAGCACTCCTTGTGATTCTGCAGCCTCTGCCTATTGTCTCTCACCTGCCTGGTGCCTCTGAGGGCTCTGGGAATTGTTTGTTCTGTCCTTGTCAGCAACTACTTCCTCATTCCAGCCCATTTCCTGTGCTGTGAAACCAAGGATCTCTCCCTGTGCTGCTTCAGGGTACGCAGGTGTTCAGAGAAACTCCTGGGGAAAGTCACAGAAATGGTAAAACCAGTAAAGGCATTTCTAGATGAGAGGCTGTTTCTTTTCTTTTCTTTTTTGAGTTGGAGTCTCACTCTGTCACCCAGACTGGAGTGCAGTGCACTCGACCCGCTGGGCTCCAGCGATCCTTCTGCCTCAGCCTTCCAAGTAGCTGGAACTACAGGCGCGCGCTTCCACGCCCGGCTCATTTTTGATTTGTTGTAGAGATGAGGTCTTGCCAAGTTGCCCAGGCAGGTCTCGAACCCGTGGGCTCAGGCCATCCACTCACCTCGGCCTCCCAAAGCGCTGGGATTACAGGGTGAGCTACCGAGCCCGGCTGACTGTTTTTTATTATTACTGATTTTTTTTTTTTTGAGTCAGGGTCTCACTTGTCACCCTGGCTGGAGTGCAGTGTCATGGTCATGACTCACCACAGCCTTGACCTACTGGGCTCAGACAATCCTCCTGCCTTAGCCTCCCAAGTAGCTGAGTCTACAGGTGTGCCACACCCAGCTAGTTTTATGATTTTTGTTGAAATGAAGTCTCACTGTGTTGCCCAGGCTGATTACTGATTGTTTTTTGGAAGTTTTGATTGAGGGTATCAGCCTCAATCAAAGGGTAAGTCTGGGTAAGTTGGAGTTAAGCGATTAAGCCTCATCCCTCAGAAATGTTACTTGTGTTTTCTTCCACATCTAGCCTTAAGTCTCGGAAGGGCCAGGGAAAGGGTTGTGCTCCACAGGTTGCCCTCACACCCCAGACCACAAGGAGAACAGACCCAAACATCTTTAGCTGTGCCCAAATATGACACTCCCTTAGATTTGACACCCTTCCTGGAGGGGAATTGTTGCAGTTCTGGCTAGGCTTGGTGGCTCATGCCTGTCATCTCAGCACTTTGGGTTTGAGACCTGCCTGGGCACCTTGGTGAGACCTCATCTCTACAATAAATCAAAAAATTAGTCGGGCATGGTGGTGCATGCCTGTAGTCCAGCTCCTTGGAAGGCTGAGGCGGAAGGATCACCTGAGCCCAGCAGGTCGAGGTTGCAGCGGCTATGAGCGTGCCCCTGCACTCTAGCCTGGGCAGCAGAGTGATACTCTGACTCAACAAAAAAGAGTTACAATTCTGAAATCTCTCATCAGTAGTCTAATTGGCTAAAAAAAGGTGTTGCTAGCATTTGGAGACATCCTTCCCATTTTTGCTTCATCTGAAAAGAGAAGATTCAGAACAATGCTGGATACAATACCACGGCTAAAAGGCTACATTCTAGAAAACCTATGTATTATTGGAAGGCAGGCGTTGTGTCTATGACCTCAGTCCTCTGCATCTTGGCGGCTGCCCAGCTCTCCCTGGCCACTTGGAGGTGCTCCTGTTGCTGCTGCTAAGCCCAGTGGCGTGATCTCACTTGTGGATGCAGATCGGAAGGGTTTGCCAAGAACCCTTGAGGAGTGCATGCTGGCCTGTGTTTGCCGTGGTTGCTCTCTCGTGTTGTTCCAGAGATGCAGGGATGGAGGGTGCTTTATAGACACGTGACCCCTCTAGGATGTGCCGGGAACAGAACAGGAGCTGATGGGGTGTCTGCCAGAGTGCTGTAACTTTGCTTATGTTGCAGTGAGGGGTTAAAAAAAAAGAATACACGCTTTGGGCACTACTCTTCATTTTGCCATTTTCTGAAAACTGGCACGGCCACATGTTTTCTTATTTTTTGGAAGACATTATAGTCCATCCTCTTTGATGGTGACATCCTTACAGTAAGTTCCATCGTGCCTAGCACAGAGCTTGGCACAGGGTGGGCATCTAGTCATATTCGGAGAGCAAACACTTGAAGGAGTAGAGAATTTGTGACCAGCTCTACTGTGTTCTGCGATATGAGGCATTCCTGATTTTCCTGGTGGTCTTATTATTTATTTATTTATTTATTTTTGAGTTGGAGTCTCACTCTGTCGCCCAGACTGGAGTGCAGTGGCCGCTCCTGGCCACCGCAGCCTCGACCTGCTGGGCTCCGGCGATCCTTCCGCCTCAGCCTTCCGAGTAGCCGGAATTACAGGCGCGCGCTACCATGCCCGGCTAATTTTTTTGATTTACTGTAGAGATGAGGTCTTGCTGCCCAGGCGGGTCTTGAACCCGCGGGCTCGGACAATCCACTCACCTCATCCTTCCAAAACACAGGATTACAGGCTGAGCCACTGAGCCCGGCTCTTATTTTTTATTAGTTTATTTATTTATTTATTTTTGAGTCAGAGTCTCACTCCATTGTCCAGGCTGGAGTGCAGTAGAACCATCACGGCTCACCCCAGCCTCGACTTCCTGGGCTCAGGTGATCCTTCTGCCTCAACCTCCCGAGTAGATGGGACTAGTGGCATGTACCACCATGCCTGGCTCATTTTTTGATTTTTTTTTGCAGAGATGGGGTCTCACTGTGTTGTCCAGGTTGGTCTCAAACTCCTGGGCTCAAGCAATCCTCCCACCTCGGCCTCCCAAAGTGCTGGGATTATAAGCGTGAGCCACCGTGCCTAACCTTGGTCTTATATTTTAGTATTTCAGTAGCATTTAGGGAATATATATATGTATATATATATTTTTTTGAGTTGGAGTCTCACTCTGTCGCCCAGACTGGAGTGCAGTGGCCACTCCCAGCCACTGCAGCCTTGACCTGCTGGGCTCCGGTGATCCTTCCGCCTCAGCCTTCCAAGTAGCTGGAAGCATTTAGGGAATATTTACTGTGTTTCTGACACTGAGATGACAAAGGAATTAGTAAATGGAGTTCACAATGGAACAGAACCGGTTATAACTGAACAGCAGAATGAGTTGTTGCTTTTTAAAAGTCTGAAGGAGCCGGGCTCGGAGGCTCAGCCTGTAATCCCGTGCCTTTGGGAGGCTGATGTGAGTGGATTGCCTGAGCCCACGGGTTTGAGACCCGCCTGGGCAGCAAGACCTCATCTCTACAATAAATCAAAAAATCGGCCGGGTGTGGTAGCACACGCCTGTAGTTCCAGCTACTCGGAAGGCTGAAGGCTGAGGCGGAAGGATTGCCGGAGCCCGGCAGGTCGAGGCTGCGGTGGCCGGGAGTGGCCACTGCACTCCAGTCTGGGTGACAGAGTGAGACTCCAGCTCAAAAGCAACAACAGCAACAACAACAACAACAAAAAGTCTGAAGGAATGAGTTATTAGATCACTGTGCTTCGAGACCCGCCTGGGCAACTTGGCGAGACCTCATCGCCACAATAAATAAAAAATCATTTGGGCTCGGTAGCGCGCGCCTGTAGTTCCAGCTACTTGGAAGGTGGAGGCGGAAGGATCGCCGGAGCCCGGCAGGTCGAGGCTGCGGTGGGAGTGTGCCACTGCACTTCAGTCTGGGCAACGGAGTGGGACTCCGACTCAAAAAAAAAAGATCACTGTGCTTGTGGGGCCCTCAGCATGATGGGACTGAAACCGAGGCCTGGGGCTGTTACTATGGGAAGCTCCAGGAAGCAGGTGGGCATTTCAGGTATGAACGTGGCCAGTGTGAGCACTCACAGGTGGAGGCAGATCGATGCGTGCGGGTTGGTGTCCCATTTGGGGATTAGCTGACTTAGGCTGGGAAAGGAAGAGAGACCTCAGGGAATGTGGATCGGAAACCCCGGGGAGGGGAGGTCGGAGGAGGGGGAGAATGTGGGCAAAGTCACCCTGAAAGGTGTTGGCAACACTGTCAGCGCCACGGAGTATCTCAGAGCCAGCGTGTGGGAGGCTGGTGAGGTCCGCCGGGGTTTGCGGAAAGCCAGCCTGCTAAATTAAGGTGATAAGTCAGGCCGTGATCCTATTTTTGGTTGTTTCTTGTAAGGAAAACAGCTCACAATCCAATTACTGATGTTCCCCTTAGGTAGTTTATCAGAGCATTTCTTCAAAGAAGTATCACCCAATAAGAGACAGATCAGTTTTAGAGGCAGGATGGGGAATTTTAGTTGGTTTTCTCAGGAAACAGGGTTTATGCAGTCATGTGTTCTATTCTTCGGAGTCCCCTTTCTTCACCATTTATCCCACGGACGAGTTTCATCTGAGACATCAGGATGCATCCCAGAAAGCTTAGTGTCATACCTGGCCATCGGGGAACGAGGGAAGGTAGCTCTGTTGATGCGTCTCTGGAGGGTACAGGGGGAACAAAGTGTTTAGGCTACCTGTGGGAGCCTCAGGAAACCTGCATGCCGGCCCGAGTTGCTCACGCCAGGGCTTGCAGGTAGTGGGCGGCAGGAGGTGAGCTCGGTCCTAAGGAAATGTTGATCATAAGGCCAGCTCTGTTTTCGCTACAGTGTGTTCGTTTGAGGAATTTGGCTCTCAAGTGTGAAGACTGAGTGCATAATCGGGTGCTTGTGACTCCTTTTTTTTGAGTAGGGGATCTCAATTGGTCACCCAGGCTGGAGTGCAGTGGCACCATCATGGCTCAACACAGCCTCAGCCTCCTGGGCTCGGGTGATCTTCTTGCCTCAGCCTCCTGAGTAGCTGGGAACACAGGCGTACACCGTCACATCCAGCTAATTTTTTTTTTTTTGAGTTGGAGTTTCACTTTGTTGCCCAAGCTGGAGTGCAGTGACACACTCATTGCCACCACAGCCTCGACCTGCTGGGCTCAGGCGATCCTTCCGCCTCAGCCTTACAAGTAGCTGGAACTACAGGCACGTGCCACCGAGCCCGGCTGGTTTTTTTGATTTATTATAGTGATGAGGTCTTGCCAAGTTGCCCAGGCTGGTCTCGAACCTGTGGGCTCAGGCAATCCTCACCTCCCAAAGCGCTGGGATTATAGATGTGAACCACTGTGCCCGGCTAACTTTTAAAACAATTTTTTTATAGAGGTAAGGTCTTGCTGTGTTGCCCAGGTTGGTCTCCAATTCCTGGTCTCATGCAGTCCTCCCATATTGGCCTCCCAAAGTGCTGAGATGATAGCATGGGCCACCATTTCTGGCTGGTGATTCTGCTTGAAATTTTCCTAGGTATCCCTCACTTCATGCCCTTAAAAATGACTGTGAGATATAGGCATGCATTGACCTTCTTGGTTTACATATTTGTTTTGGAATTATTTTCAGTTGTTTGATTCTTTGGATTTCTTTTTTTTTTTTTTCGTATAGAGGTAAGCTTTATTTATCTTTGGTCAATGCTGAGGAATAAGATTGCTGAAACTTATGTTAAAGTATGTGTTTGATTTTACAAGAACCAGTTTTCAAAATGGCTGTACCATTTCACATCCCCACCAATACGAAGGTTCTGACTGCTCTGCATCTTTGCTGGTACTGACTGCTGACCCTTTGGTGATTCTTTGGATTTCAAGAGAAGCCTCATTTCCCCAGAGAGATGAGGACACATTTAGACCCAGGAATGCCACTGCCTATAGCTGAACTGTCAGTCCTTCGTTGTTGTGGACTGTCACTTAGCCACATTCCTGCTTAACTAAGGTGATCTAGTTAGTATGAACGGTGTGGTCTCACCTCAGACTCAAAAGCAGGACCATGTCTGTTTTTTTTTGTTTTGACTCAGGGTCTCACTGTCACCCAGGCTGGAGTGCAGTGGCACAGTCACGGCTTACCACAGCCTCAAACTCTTGAGCTCAAGCAATCCTCCTGCATCAGCCTCCTGAGTAGTAGTAGCTAGGACTACAGGTGCATGCCACCACACCTATTTTTTTCTGTAGAGACAGGGTCTCCCTGTGTTGCCCAAGCTGATATTGAACTCCTGGGCTCAAGCAATCCTCCCGCCTCAGCCTCCCAAAGTGTTGGGATTAGAGGCCTGCGCTGCCATGCCCTGTCATGTCTGTTTTTGCTTACCTCTGGTATGTAGGAACTTGAATCTTTGAATGATTGAATTAATTTATGTGTTTAGGAAAATACCCGTAGATGTACAGAAATTACATATATGATATACACCTAGTATATTATATATATTTACAATACTTGTTTAAAATTGTGGACCTTAAGTTGTAAAGGGGGCAGGAGTTATCCATGTGCCCTTACTATCTTTTATATGCGTGCGTATTATCTGTTGTTGCAACTGTTTCGGAAAGAATTGCTTGTGACTTCATTTCTTTTTTTTTTTTTTGAGTTGGAGTCTCACTCTGTCGCCCAGGCTGGAGTGCAGTGGCTTACTCAGGTCCACCCCAGTGTTGACCTGCTGGGCTCTGACGATCCTTCCGCCTCAGCCTTCCAAGTAGCCGGAACTACAGGCATGCGCTACCTTGCCTGGCTAATTTTTTTTTTTTTTTTAATTGTAGGAGCGAGGTCTCGCCAAGTTGCCCGGGCTGATCTCAAACCCGTGAGCTCAGGCAATCCACTTGCCTCAGCCTCCTAAAGTGCTAGGATTACAGACTGAGTCTCTGAGCCTGGCCCTTGACTTCATTTCTAAGGTAGAGATTTTTGAGGTAGAGGAGGAGAAGATGGAACCCACCCTTGAGAGAGTGGGGGGGAGAAATTCTTTATTCTGCCTCGTGGATTTTCTGTGTTTTCTCCTTGGCAGCTTGTGTGGAAGACAGACAGCTCATGGGTTCTCACTGTTGTGTCTCCACTCCCCCAACCCTTCCTCTCCCTTTGTGGGGTTGATACAACCTCTCCCATCCCCAGATGGCATCTGCTCCCTTTCTGGGCTTCATCTTGGTCGTGGCAGTCTAGGGAAGCTGACTTCTGCAGTCCCAGGGCTTGCTTCAAGAGCCTTGTGGCTGGGTTCATCCAAACCACAGACCGTCTGTTTGTCATCACTGTCCTAGAAAGCAGCCAGTGCTGAGCCACGTCTGCGGGAAGGGGCAGTGTTGCTGCCATCTGCAGCGTGGGCCTGCTCTCACTGCCTGGTTCATGGCCAGTAGGCGTTCTTCTAGAGCCTAGGACCCACGAAGACATGACACAGTTCTTTGACTCCTGTGGCTGCCAGGCTTGATGTGGAAGTTTAACGTATACATAGGGAGAGAGGTGGCATCCAAGACGTGTCTCTAGCCAGGTGTAGTGGCGTGTGCCTGTAGTTCCAGCTACTAGGAAGGCTGAGGCAGAAGGATCACCTAAGCCCAGCAGGTTGAGGCTATGGTGGCCGTGAGCGTGCCACCGCACTCTAGCCCATGTAACAGAGTGAGACTCTAACTCAACAGCAACAACAACAACAAGACATGTCCAAGGATTGTTAGAGACAAAGGAAAAAAGTGCTGAGTGCTTAGAGAAAGGGGAGAGCATTCTGGCTTCTTCAGGCAGAGGTGCATTTGCAGGAAAAGTTAGACAACTGGCACAGTCCTCTGTACCTGTTTGTGTCTCTACCTGTGCCTCTCTAGTTCCACCTGTGCATGTATTTTTTTTATTTTTTGAGTTGGAGTCTCACTCTGTCTCCCAGACTGGAGTGTAGCGGCCGCTCCTGCAATCCTTCGCCTCAGCCTTTCAAGTAGCCGGAACTACAGGCGCGTGCTACCACATCCAGCTGATTTTTTATTTATTGTAGAGATGAGGTCTCACCAAGTTGCCCAGGTGGGTCTCGAACCCGCGGGCTCAGGCCATCCACTCACCTCAGCCTCCCAAGGTACGGGATTATGGGCTGAGCCACCGAGCCCGGTGTGCGTGTATTTTTAAAGGCCTTAGGGCCATGTCTGTGGGAACCTTGTATGAGGATCCAAAGCATCCCGGTGGTGGCTTTGACCAGCCCAGAGAGGAGTGTTCATGAAATTGATGTGGTGATTTTTGGGGTGTGGGCTGCTGAGAGTGTGTCCCTTGCCAAGATGGTGGGAGCAGGTCTCTCGGCTTGTGCTGTGTGTGGCTCCAGCCACATGCTCTGCACTTTTGGTGATGAGCTGGGTGAGGAGCTTTTTTGAACATTTGTCGATGAGTGGCCCTTCCTGAAATGAGTGAGACTAAGCCCCTCTTGTCTATCCCCCTGGTGATGATCCAAGGATCACCTCTGGCCCTAAAATTCCAGAAGCTCATTGAGATGGGAGTGATCACGGTCAATGCGTTGCCAGGCCTGTTGCTGGTCTCGTAGTCTCACGAGGGAGGCAAGCAGGCAGGCAGGCTCAGGGTGATTGTGGTGGTGAGCGGACTCTCGTAGTTGCTTTCTGAGCTCTGCCCGGGCTGGAGAAAGGATCGGGAAAGCCTTCAACAAGCTAGACTCATTTAACCTAGTTAAGTCTTGAAGATCAGTAGGTTTTGTCTGGCACAGAAGGGGTAGGTTATTTGTTTTAGGTAGAGGGAAGAGCTTAGGGAACATATGTACCTATTTATGAGAGCATGTTGGTTTTAATGACTGAAGAAAAGGGGTTTTTTTTGCACTTGGAGTGGAGGGTTGAGTGGCAGAATATTTTGAGGGAGAAGGTTAAGAGCGGAGAGAAAAGTCCTGACTGGGAAGAGCCTTTTACGTCTCCCGAAGGCGCTTGAGCCGGACATGGTAGGTGGGTTTGTCTGTTTCTCTGGTTCTACCTTCCTTGAAATGCTCTAGGCTCCTCATTTCCTTTCTGTACTTTTTTTTTTTTTTTTTTGAGTTGGAGTCTCACTCTGTCACCCAGACTGGAGTGCAGTGGCCGCTCCCCCCACCACAGCCTCAACCCACTGGGCTCCGGCGATCCTTCTGCCTCAGCCTTCCGAGTAGCCAGAACTACAGGCATGCGCTACCACGCCTGGCTAATTTTTTTGATTTTATTGTAGAGATGAGGTCTCACCAAGTTGCCCAGGTGGGTCTCAAACCCGCGGGCTCAGGCAATTCACTCACCTCAGCCTCCCAAAGGCACGGGATTACAGGCTGAGCCACCGAGCCCGGCTCTCCTTTCTGTACTTGATGTTTTAAAACATCTTCATCTTGTTGAAGGTCTCCTCTCCTCCTGACTTTTCTGTGAAGCTGGCATTCTCTTCCATCTTCGACTCTGACACTTGGCTAGGTGTTAGATCACCAACTCTGTGTGATGACATGGCTCTGCATGGGAGACTCTCAGTGAAGGAATGGAATGTCACGTCTTCAAGGGGATGTGTATCTTGCAAGCTTGGCCATCACAGTGGACTCCTTACTGAGCCTTACTAGGGCAGTTCGGCCTAGAGCCCTCATCACCCGTGGCTTCTGGCAACATGTCCATGAATGTCAAGGGTGTGCTCATGGTGGTGCTAGGAAGGAGGGATGGGTAAGGCAAAGGAAGAACAGAAAATGGATACTGGAAACAGTTGAATAAAGGGAGTGAGAGCCGAGCTGCCCTAGGCAGGGAGTGGAGAGAGTTTCACCAATTGTCTCAGGAGCCTTTCATGCCCATATGCAAGTTTCAACCCAGTATGAATCCCCCATTCTCTTAAGCTAGAGGCTAAAAGGAGGACCAGGTGTTCACTCAGAACTTGGCAGACAGCGTTGGCTAGTTTGAGCATGGAGAGGATTAAAAATGGCTGAGCAGGGAGGGACGCTGAGCTGTTAATTTTGTAGAATGCTCTCAAATAATCCTTGTGGATGGATCTCGCCTCAGCCCTTTCTATCTCTGGTCCTTGGACCGAGAATTGTTTAAATCATTTCATGTTTATTGAGTTATTTTGGTTAATCATCAGTCCAGATTGCCTCAGAGTGGTTTTGGCATCTTTTAAAAAAAATGATTGGTCACATAACTTCTCGGAACCTCAGGGTTTCCTTATTTAATCCTCTCAAAGTTGAACATTAAGTCACATGAACAGGACTTGCGGACTGTAAAGCAGTGCGATACACGTAAGGCGGTTTTTGCCAATTGCTGAGTCCTTAAGGGCAAATTGTCTACTCAATACGTGGTTCACTGTGTTAGTGAGGGTTCCATTAGGGAAGAAGAGACATTGTAAATATTATGGAATAAGGCATTTATTGGCGGAATCAGGCTTTACCCAGTTCTGGAAGGGAGCTGGAGAAATGAAGAGTCAGGGAAGGTCACATGGATCAGCCCCCCCCCAAGCGCCGGTGGGCTGACAAGTCGAAGCTTGCAGGAGACACGGGAAGCCAGAGTGGGCTGGGCTGGTTTAGGGGACTGAAGCGCTGAGATCCCAGCCAGCATCGGGTGGGCTTGTGGCCACGTGGGCCCATAAGAACAGCATTTGGGAAGGAAACGGGGGCAGAAAACACGAGTACACACTGGTGCCCACTGGCACCTTTGAGCTTCCTCCTGCCGCCTTTCACCACGGGGACCACCACAGCACGATGGCCACCGCTTTACTTCCACCTCCCAAATCTCACATGAGGTTCTATTGTGTCCAACTCAGAAATACACGGAGAAGAGGAGTCTGGGAAATTAGTTCCAGCTTAGCCAACGTGACGCGGTACAAAACCCCACCAGCTTCATAACATAGGAGTAAAGATTTGGCTTGGTCCTGGCCTCCCAAGATCTCCAAAAGGATGCAGAAGCCAAGTCATAGTTCCATGATACAGCATTTCACTAATAAGACGTAATTAAATTAGTTAATGACCCAGTCTTTGTTTTGTTTATTTATTTTATTTATTTATTTTTTTGAGTTGGAGTCTCGCTCTGTCGCCCAGACTGGAGCGCTGTGGCTGCTCCCGGCCACCGCAGCCTTGACCTGCTGGGCTCCGACGATCCTCCCGCCTCAGCCTTCCGAGTAGCTGGGACTACAGGCCTGTGCTGCCACGCTCGGCTAATTTTTGATTTATTGTCGAGGCGAGGTCTTGTCAATTTGCCTGGGTGGGTCTCGAATCCGCAGGCTCAGGACATCCACTGGAGCCCGGCCGACCCAGTCTTTAAGAAGTGACTCATAGTTCTGTTCATCAAGTGTTGGTGACATTGAATCTCTTTCTGCCTTCCTTGCCATTCTTGTCTAATGAGGCAGTAGGTGGCCAAGTATGATGGCTCCTGCCTGCGATCACAGCACTTTCGGAGGCCAAGGTGGGAGGATAGTTTGAGGCCGGGAGTTCAAGACCAGCCTGGACAGCACAGCGAGACCTCCCTCTATAAAAAATTGTTTTAAAAAATAAGTAAACAACGCAGCAGAGGTTGGTTATCTTGGCAACAAAAGCTAAGAAAAGTTGTGTTGACTGTGAAGAGCCCATCAGTCGTTTTTTTTTTGGTTTTTGTTTTTTTTAGTCAGAGTCATGCGCTGTCTCCCAGGATAGAGGGCAGCGGCATGCTCATGGCCACCGTTGCCTCACCTTGCTGGGCTCAGGTGTTCCTTTTGCCTCAGCTTTCCAAGTAGCTGGAATCACAGGTAGTGCCCGGCCAATTCTTCTATTTATTGTAGAGATGAGGTCTTGCCATATTGCCCAGTCTGGTCTCGAACCCCTGGGCTCAGGTAATTCTCTCGCCTCAGCCTCCCAAAGTGTGCTGGGATTACAGGCGTGAGCCACTGTGCCCTACCGAGCCCATCAGTTTTGATGGAGTGCCAAGGCTCCTTTTTATTACCACCTTTCTGGCCTTTGATCTGGAGAACATCTGCATGAAGGCTAGAGGATGCCCGGATGCCAGAAACTGCCATGCAGATATTCAGCAAGAACACCTTTCAGTCTCTGGACCACTTGTCTTCACCCCTGTGGCCTGTCAGTCACATTGGCCCTTCCTGGTGTTTCTGGATCCAGGCCCAGGCTGGCAAGCACTCAGGGGGAAGGGCGATCGCCTTTGTGAGATTTCATGTTCCCACCTGGGCGTCATCGTTCCTTGGAATTCTTTCACCCTTCTGGCTGTCAACTCTGACATTTCTCTCTGTGACCCCAACCTCTCGCCTTGAGTTCCCCTGTGTCTGCTGAACCTCCTTTCTGCCTTTATCGTGATCCCGGGATCTTGGCCATTCCCGTTCTCAGCCCCCCAGGCCATCCTCACTTGCCTCAGCTCCTGATCAGGGCAGACTCTGATGGTCAGTGTTTCAGTGGTGAGCTTGTTAACATCCTAGGACTCTCTGCTCTATTTCTTCACTGGTTCCCATATTGTATTTGAGTCATTCTCACCAACCGCCGTCTGTGAACTGGAGCTTTATAATCTTGCTAGGGAAGCTCTCACAGCCTGCCCGCCTGAGTTTTCAACAAAGTCATGGCATCTGGACTGCAGCTCAGCTCTCCTTTGTGTTCCTCTTGTGACGGTTGCCTATGATATTCCTTCTGATGCTTATTCTAAGCCTTTTCCACAATCTTTGGTGCCTGGAACCCTTTCTACTACCTTACTGAGACAATGGAGACCAAGCAAAGGTTCCTCAAGCTTTCTGCCTCAAAACTTTTCTATATTTTTCTGTGTCTGTTTCTCCCAACTTGAAAAAAGGTGAGGGCCCTGTGTTTGACTCTTTTTTCCTCTCTGTGTATGCTCTCTCCTGTGTGACCCCACGCAACCTGCGGCTTTAAAGACTGTCTATGTGCTGATGACTCTTTAATGAATATCTCCAGCTTAGACCTCACCCCTGAGCTCCTGATGTGTGTATTCAACTGCCCACTCCACTACACCTCTACTTGGTGTCTGGTCGAAATCTCAAATTAAAAATGGCCAGAGGAAAGGCCAGGGGCGGTATCACTCCTGCAATCCCAGCACTTTGGGAGGCCAAGATGGAGGATTGCTTGAGCCTAGGAGTTCACGACCTGCCTGGGCAACATAGGAAGGCCTTGTCTCTACAGAAGATTTTAAGTTGGCTGGGCGTGGTGGCTCAAGCCTGTATAAGTACTTTGGGAGGTAGGGGTGAGAGGATTGCCTGAGCCCAGGGGTTCGTGACCAGCTGGGACAACTTGGTGAGACCTCGTCTCTACAATAAATTAAAAATTAGCTGGACATGATAGCGTGCGCCTGTGGTTCCAGTGACTTAGAAGGCTGAGGCAGAAGGATCCCCTGAGCCCAGAAGATGGAAGCTGCGGTGGCCGTGAGCGTGCCACTGCCCTCCCGCCTGGGTGACAAAGTGATACTCCGACTTAAATAAAATAAAATAAAATAAAATAAAAGATAAAAGTTAGCGGGCATGGTGGTGTGTGCCTATAGTCTCAACTACTAGGGAGGCTGAGGCAGGAGGATCACCTGAGACCAGGATGTCGAAACTACACTGAGACATGATCGTGCCATTGCACTCTAGCCTGGGCAACAGTGCGACCTCAACTCGAAAAAAAAAAAAAAAGGCTGAAAGAGAACACTACCATTGCTTGGTACAAATTTGCTTCCCTCTGATTACTTTACCATCTCAGTAAATGGCATCACCATGTGCCCAGATGCTCAAGCCGGAAGGCTGGGTCATCTTTGATTCCTTTCTTTTCAAAAAGGCAGTACGCCTTTTCGTTTACGTGTAAGACATGTCCTGAATCTGACTGCTCCTGAGAGCCGCCATCCCTGCAGCTCAAAGCCAGTGTCTCTCATGCTTTCCTCGGTCCACTTTAACTTCCTTGCTTCCATATTGGCTCCACCCTAAGCCATCTTAGATAGTGACTCATGCCTGAAATCCCAGCACTGTGGGAGACCACAGAGGGAGAACTTCAGAAGTTTGAGACCGGCCTGGGCAATCTGGCTAGACATTGTCTCTACAAAAAAATTTAAAATTAGCTAGGCGTAGTGAAGGTGTGCTTGTAGTCCCAGCTCCTTGGGAGGCTAAGGTGGAAGGATCACTTGAGGCCAGGAGGTTGAGGCTGTGGTGAGCCATGATTGTGTCACTGCAGTTTTCCCTGGGTGACTCAAAGTAGTCAGCCATCTTTCCCATGGTGACCAGAGTGAACTTTCTACAAATAAAGCCGGCTCAGTCCTTTGCTTATGTATGGGCTTCCTATTTCAACCCGAATCTAAGGCCTCTGTCCCCTTCTTCCTCGTAATCCAGGCACACTGCCTTCTTCTGTCCTTCGGACACCCTAAGCACCTCAATCATAGCATTGGCATTTGCTGTTCTCTGTCGGGTCCTGTCTTACCTGAGAGCCTCAGCCACTGTGTCCTCCTGACTTCAGTCTGGATCCAAGCCCCACCCCCTCCTGACCACACATCGTCACATTCAAACTTGATGGCCTTTTTTTGAGTTGGATTCTCACTCTGTCTCCCAGGCTGGAGTGTCATGGCTTGCCCACAGCTACTGCAGCCTCGACCTGCTGCGCTCAGGCAATCCTCTGGCCTCCGCCTCCCCAAGTGCTGGGATTACAGGCGTGAGCGACTGCACCCAGCTAACTGGATAGCCTTGATCAGGAGGTTTGCATCCTCAAGCCCTCCTTAAAGAGTGCAGGCTTCTTGCAGGCAGGGACTTGAGCCGCATAGCTGTGCCCCGGGGACGACTGGCTGCCTCTGCAGGCTGAACCCCCTGCCTGTGCGCCACCTCCTCTCTGCCTCCTTGCCTTTCTCGGGGTTGTGCCTTCCCTGCATCTGTGATTGCTCCTCCTCTCCTGGCGCCTGCTTCTCAAGCCTCATGCCCATCATGGAACATGCACATGTATGGAGGTTGCCAGTGGTCCCTCAGGCATTGACTCACTGGTCTTCTCTTGGCGCCCTTCTTCCTTGACTTCTCTGCATGTTTGACGTTGTTCTTTATTGTTTTCAAACAGTAGAATAGGGTAGGGCAGGAAACAGCTTCTGCCTTAGAGGATCTTGCAGTTTGCCAGGAGCAAGTGGATAGGTGTGTCCATAAAAAACAGTAAACAAATCGGGCTCGGTGGCTCAGCCTGTAATCCCAGCACTTTGGGAGGCTGAGGTGAGTGGATTGCCTGAGTCTGCGGGTTCAAGACCCGCATGGGCAACTTGACAAGACCTCATGTCTACAATAAATCAAAAATTAGCCGAGCATGGTAGCACCTGCCTGTAGTTCCAGCTGCTTGAAAGGCTGAGGCGGAAGGATCGCTGGAGCCCAGTGGGTCGAGGCTGCGGTGGCTGGGAGCTGCCACTGCACTCCAGTCTGGGTGACAGAGTGAGACTCCAACTCAAAAAAACAAACAACCAACCACAACAACAACAAAACAGTAAACAGTTGGTGTTGCTCCTGACCCCTTCTTGAAATCCTTGCTTTCCTTGGCTGTCAGGACAAGTCTTTTCTTTCTTCCTAACTGGCTACTATTTATTTCTTTTTGCTAACACTTTTCTTCTGCTTTTGTCTTTATAATTACTATTATCATTATTTTGAGTCAGGGTCTCACTCCGTGGCGCAGGCTGGAGTGCAGTAGCCCAGTTGCAGCCCACTGCAGCCTCAGCCTCCTCCTGCCTCAGCCTCAGATGCATTCTACCCCGCCCAGCTCATTTTTTGGCTTTTTTTGTAGAGATGAGTTTTTGCAATGTTGTCCAGGCTGGTCTTGACTCCTGGGCTCCAGCAGTCCTCCCACATCAGCCTCCCAAAGTGCTGGGATCATAGGCGTGAGCTGCCGTGCCCGACCTCGCTTGTGTCTCAGACATGGGAGTTCTCTGAGATGTGGTCCTCCTCTCTGCTCTGTACAGTCCTGTGTCTGCTGGTGACCTCGTCTCCCACCTCTGCACCAACTGGCAGATTTCTCCTTTTCCCACCTCCCTGCAGGCGTGTGATTTCACATTCATAGGAGGCTCAAATATCTTTTAGGGGTTCACATTCCAAATTGACACTTTCAAATCTGACTATTTCTCTCCGCTGTGTTTCCTTTAGAAAATACTCTCCTCCTGCTGTTAGCTTCGTTTGGCCTCTGTCACCTCACAGGGAGCGGCTGCCTTGGCATTTCCAGCATTGCCCTTGCTTTGGTTCTCGTGGCCTCCCCCGTCCCCTGGCAGAGGGCTCCCTCCCGAATGATCCCTGGGCCTCTGTGTCTCCGCTCTGGTCTGCTCTTCATGCACTCCTTTCATCACCCTGTCTTTGCCACTCCCCTCGGATCCCCAGCGTTCCCTTCTAGGTCCCTGATTATGCTGCTTCTCTTATCTCTGGTCACCTTCCTCCTGCCTGTCTTCTGTTCAACCTCCCCCTCGCCCAACCATTGTTCAAAGGCCCGACTCAGATATTGCCATTGCACGAAGCTTTTCACAAATCCCTTTGGATGGAAATGCCCTCACTCTCTTTTGAGCCCTGTGGTGCTTGTTAGTACCTGTCTCGTTTGTTACTTATATTCTTCCTTGTACAGGTTGAGCATCCCTAATTTGAAAACCCGAAATCTAAAATGCTTCAAAGTCTGAAATTGTTTGAGGGCCAATATGACACTCCAAGGTCATGCTCAAAGGAAATGCTCATTGGGACATTCCAGACTTCAGATTTTTGGATTAGGAATGCTCAACCAGTAATCATGCAAATATTTCAGAATCTGAAATCTATAACACTCTGATCCCAAGCATTTCAAGTAAGGGATTCTCAACTTGTATTACAGTTTTCATGTACACCTTATGACTCTTAGCTTAAACAAAGACCCACAAGCCAATTTGTTTATTTATTCTCACTTATCATCTAGCATGGAGGCTTCTTGGTTAATAGTTGCTTGTTGAATGAATAGTTTTATCTTAGATTTGTCTAGTATATCCCAGTGAGGTCTTAGCTGAACTTTTAAAACAATTATTATTATTTTAAAGATATGGGGTACAATTCAGGTTTAGGCACATAAGTGAACTTTTAAAAAAAATGGTTCTAAGTGCTGCTCTAGTAAACCTTATTTACTCTGGGATGGGATTTGAAGGTCAGCCAGATGCGACCGTATTACACATTATCTGCTGGCTCTAACGTGTTTAACGTGCATTGCTGCAT